GGTACTCCAGCTGACACTGTATGAGTTTGGGGACCCTCACTCGTGTTGTATACCAGTGTTCTTCCTCTGAAGTAGCTCTTTATTATCTCTCTTAGATATTTAGGGATATTATATTGTGACAGCGCATTCAGTATCATATCCCAACTAGCTGTGTTGAAGGCATTCCTTACATCCAGGGTCGCGATGATACAGTATTCCTTCGTCCCGTGCCTCCATCTGGTGCCTTGAATAGCGGAAGTGGCCAGACCAACAACTTTGTTAAGCGCGTCCGTTGTTGACCGGGCCTTCCGGAATCCAAATTGGTTTGGTGACAGGCCTCCGGCGCTTGCAATCGCAGTCTCCAGCCTAGAGCAGATCAGTTTCTCAAACACCTTTCCCATGGTGTCTAAGAGACAGATCGGTCTGTACGAAGATGGCTCATCTGGTGGTTTGCCAGCCTTGGGTAGCAATACCAGATTCTGGGCTTTCCATTTTGCCGGGAACGTCTCTTGGATCAGGCATTCGTTAAATAATTCGGCGAACGTACTTGGGTGCAAGGCGAGGGCTAGCTTTAGCGCACGATTTGGGATCCCGTCCGGCCCCGGAGCTGTGTTGGTTCTAAGACCTCGGAGAACTACTGATATTTCTTCCTCTGTAACTAAGACAATTTCAGCAATTTCAGTGCTCGTTGAGCCCTGATCAGCAGACTCGGACTCAGGGGCGTGAATGGAGCTTAAACTTTCTGGAAAGAGTGTTTCCACAATCGATTTAAGCTCCAGACGATCCGTAGGCTGCACCTGTCTACCTGCGTATAGTCTTTTAAATACTATCTTATATGCCCTGCCCCAAGGGTCATATTCGGCTGAGTCGCACAACTGTAAAAAACATTTTCTTTTGCTTGCCCGAATGGCCTTCTTCAGCTGTCTTCTAGCTGCCTGGTAAGCTAACTGTTTCTCAAGAAACGTTGGCCTACCGCGAGCCCGTTGGTAGCTTCTTCTCGCCTGGATGCATTTGCGACGAATGTCACCTATTTGCGTATTCCACCAATACGTAGGCTCATGTTGTCGCGTGAACTGCTTGCGGCGTAACATGCTGCTATTGCAGGCACTCTGTATTTGGGCTACCATTTGGCATGCTCTGGCCTCAGCATTACCAATTGTACCCAGAGACTGAATGGCCTCTGAAAAGACCGCGGGATCAAAAGTATCTAGCCGATACGACTCCCTCCACAATGTTGACGCCCTGGCAGGTGGCTCACCTATTGTGAACAGAAGTGCCGTATGATCGCTGCCTGTATAGCTATCGCAATGGCTCCATGTTGCTCCCCGAAAGAGGGATGAAGTGACAAAAGTAATGTCGATAACAGACCCGTATCCCGCCCGACTGAAGGTGTACTCATGGCCAGTGTTGAGCAGTGCAACATCTAGTGTCGCGAAGATCTCCAGTAGGATACGACCTCTGGCATTTGTTGTTGGGCTACCCCATTCTAGCGCCCAGGAGTTAAAATCTCCAGCTATAATGGCCTTCCGACCCCTAGCATCCTCGGCAAGCTCGTCGAGCACCGTCGTGAATTCGCTGAGCTGCATGCTGGGGGCCAGATAGCAACTGTAAAGCCACAAGCTACCATATCGGCCACGTACGAACCCATTGAATGACTTAACATTCGAAAGTACGTTCGTTGAGTTGCCGCATACCCACAACGCAGCTTTGCCATTAACGTCTGTTGACCATGTCCTAGGGCAGCTGGTTCTACAGTGGTGAGGCTCACTGAGAAAAGCTACATCTATACATTTTTCCCTAATGATCTGCTCTAGAAGATCTTGGGCAGCAACACAATGATTTAAGTTAAGCTGCAAAAACCTTAACATTTCATTTTACGAGCAGCTTCACGGTAAGATGGGCACTTGAAGCTGCCTGCTGAATGGTCCGTCTGCTTTTCACCTTTCCGGATGCAGAGGCTACATTTTGGTGGCTGTGTGTGTATGTGTGTCTGTATGCGTGTGTGTGTATGTATGCCTGTGTGTGCGTACGTGCGTGTGTGTGTGCGTGTTTCTTGTGTAACTGAAAGACGCGAAAAATTATTGAAATATCTATTGCTCCAAGGGTCCAGGGGATCTCGTAGTCGAGCAGTCTCGACTAGAGCTTTCTTACTTGAATGTGAGGAGCTTTTATCTTGTTTTTAGCTTTGATTTTTTGCCCAGTAACCAGAAGTGTTTTTTCAGCTTCTCGTCCAGCTGCTTTCTTTTTAACTGTAGGTGGGGTTTTCATGTGAGCCTTCTGCCGAGTAGAAGGCTGAGATATTTTGCTGTTACGCTATCAGGGATAGTAGAGCCATCTAGCTGGACGGGAGGGCAATTTCCTCTTCTTAGTGTGAACGTTGTGTGTGTGGATTTTTCGCTAGTGACCATGACCATGTGCTGACTTGGTCGAGCTGCCTTTGTAGTATATTGGAAGCGGTTTGTGGTGAGGCGTCGCTGGCTTGAAAGGCTGTGTCATCAGCGTATGTGACGGTTAGTAGTCTGGCGTCCGGAACGATGGGCATACCAGCGGTGTAGAGCGTGTAAAGCACTGGGCCCAATACGCTTCCCTGGGGGACTCCGGCTCTAACCTCTTTGATGTCGGACTTTTCGTCACCACATTTCACGTAGAAACTTCTGCTGACAACAAAAGATTTAAGGAGCATGTGGTAGGGTGCGGGGAGAGCTGCCCTGAGCTTAAAGAGCAGTCCTGTGTACCAAACTCTGTCGAAAGCCTGTTTTACGACCAGAAACACCGCAGCGCAGTATTTCAATTCCTCATATGCTTCCAGTATTTTCTCAACGATCCTGTGGCACTTCTCTGGTGATATGAGGCGAGATTAGCTCCCAGGTTTCCCAGGTTTTTTGGTCAGAATGATTTCGCATTTCCACTGGGTGGGGAAGTTTCCTAGCTAAAAGCATTTTTTGACAATGTTGAGGAGAAGCTCTAGGCCAGACTGCCGTAGGGCTTTAATGGCAGGTACATCGACTCCACCATATCCGGGAGACTTGGATGCTTTGAGCTTTCGGAATTCTGATGACAGCTCTTCTGCAGCAACTGCAGGAGTTGGGAGGACCATCTGACAAGCAACGTCAAGGAAGCCCACCGTGGTGTTTGCATCCTCGTTAAAGCACCCTGAAAAAGGGGTGAATGCGTCGTGTAGGTGGTTAGCAAACGCCGCTGCTCTTTCGCTGTCGGATCTGCACCACATTCCATCTGCACGCTTGACTGGCTCTTTTTTGGTCGCTAGCATTTTGATGCTTTTGGTAACGCTCCAGAGATCGTGTTGGGGGTGACCTGGTTCCACTTCTTCTAGGTACTGGTTAAGGGATTGCCTTCTCAAGTAGTACAGCAGCTCCTTGAGCTCTCCTCTTTTGCAGCCCGCTGGGTCCAGACTGTTCTGCCAATGTTTAACCATTATTTGTATAACTGTATATTAGTGTTACGTTTGAACAGTCTACTTCTCTTGGAATGGGTGCAGGCAGGTATATTGACCAGAAGTTTGACGGCGCTGTGGTCAGAGCACAAGTCGATCGTGTTGCCAGTGACTCTTGTTGAGCTGGTAGTTCAATGTACTTTATATCGCTTCTTATTATAGCTGCCGCTCCTCTGCGGGCCGCGATATTTGGATGGTTCACGTCGTAGCCATTAAGGGTAAAATAGGATTTGGGGGAACAGTGAGTTTCAGAAACAAGGAGAATGTCCACGCATTTAGTTTTCAGGTAGTGCTCTACATCTGGCCTACTTTTCCACAGGCCCTGTCCACATTTTACGTACTTAGGTGGTAGCTTGTAGTAGCTTTGGTAGTTCCCAAGTCCTTGGCAGCGATAGCACTGCAGCACGTCTTTGTTTTAGAGCGGGGGCCCAACTTTTACAACGCATTGGCACAGGCGAATGATGGCGAAGGTGTCCTTGTTGTTGCTGCTGCTTCTAAGCTGACAAAGAACATTAACATTGGCTTTTTGTTGTTGCGGCTGATAGAGTTTTTGATCTCGATCCCACGTACAGCATGTCCTTTGGCAGAATTAAGATAAACCTTAAGCTTCGAGAAACTTTCCTTGTCGGAACGGTTTATCCGAACAACTTAACTCAAGTGGCAAGAAATGACTACAAGTGGCTAAAAATATATTTAAATATGATTCGCAATATGGAATTATACGATAAAGATAATAATTGTCACAAATTGGATAAATATAGTCATTAAATCGAAGCAAAAAGCTTCAGATTTTTTGTCCGATTTTTTTAAAACAAAATTTCAGCTTTTTTTACTTAACAACACTGATGCATACACACATAGGCATACGCACGCACGCATTGGCTGCGGCATGAGCTTACAACGGGTACTTAATTGTTTAATAACTTTTCTTGTGAATGTACTTTCTTCAGATCGTGATTAAGTCATTAAAAGCGTTCAGCTGCCTAAACACAAGTCTCTAGTATTTGAAACCCGCCTTTTACAAATTTAAGCGCGATGGGATCGATATAGGGGTGGGGTGAATTTTAACAAATATCGAAATTCTATATATGTATAAAGAAATATTCTTCTATATAAATAAATTCTATAAACTACATACTTATGACTGTACACTATGACGCTAGCTTTAAAGATGTAGCAGATATCAATTTTTAACTGATTTTCAATGTTTTTAAACAATAAAAAATAACGGGACGAGTTATCGATTTTTTTTATGTTTTTAAACGATAAAAAATAACGGAACGAGTTATCGATTTTTGAAAAAAAAACTCAAGCCGGGTTTCTTTCCTTTCAGAAAAAATAATCCAACAGTACAAGCATGGAGAATTCCAATTGCGAACATCTTACAATAAATCTTACGCTGAGACGACGCCGTGTTTTACTCTATAAGTTTGTTTTAATATTATATTATGCCTAAAGGTTAAATGTGAAGATTTGGTTACACTCTATAGGAAATTTACTCAAAAACTAGAATATAATGAAAAAGCCGTTCTCCATTAGTTGACAAAAATAAATACAAATTTAACGGTTAAAGAAAACATCTGCGTATCACAAATATGGTTGCTGATATTTACCAGAACGGTCATATTTTTTTTTTTTAATTGAAGTATTTCGAAAACATTTTTTGTAACATTTGTCCAGTTTTTATATTAAACGTAGTGTCCCATTTACTTATTTCTTATACTTCACATAGATATTTTCAAACGATGTAAAGGAAGCACAATATGAATATATTTGATTGAAATACAATTTTTGATGGCTCTTTTAAACAAATATAGGTGGACACGATTAATTTTTTTAAAATACAAGCAGTAATTAAAATCGTCTATAATGTGAGTGCTGCTGATGATTTCCTCTATGTGGAGGTCGGGCGTACGGATGCCTTGGTCCATTATTATTATAACGATTTTGATAATTTGAATCATTATATCTTAATTGGTATGGTCTCTGATGGTAATTTTGGTTTGGATTATAGCCTGCAATATACAAAAATAAAATTAAGTTTAGAAGCCACAATATTTATTATCTTATTTTCAAAATTCATATTAATCAACTAATTTACTTCATACATATTAATTTAAAATGTTTATGTTTATGTTTAAGCAAAAAAAGGACTAAGTAGAGTACAAGAAAGAAACCCATTGAAACTGGAAAATCCGGGTATAATGGTTTTGTTGAAATGTATGTAACAGCCAGAAGGAGGCGTGGCAGACCCCACAAAGTATATATATTCTTGATCAGGGCGACAAGCTGAGTCGATTTGGCCCTGTCCGTCTGTCTGTCCGTCCGTACGTCCGTATGTATGAACGCGTCGATCTCAGAACCTGAATCAGAAGATATAAGAGCTAGAGATTTGAAATTGTTTTTCCTAGTTATTTAATTATACCTTACACCTTTAGAGCTACAGTCTCAAAATTTTATATAATTTCGGTTTTTGTTGTAATTTATCCCCCACCCGAATATCCTCCCCCTCACCATCACCTTTTTAAAAGGTGTATTTCAAGTACTAGAGTTTCACGAGCATAGCTCAATAAGAAAAGTTATTAAACAATTAAATTTCCATAGTAAGCCCAAACTGCTGCCAATGCGTGTTTATGCTTGCATCCCTATGTTTTTCTGTGCGTGAGTGTGTGTGTTTCTTGTGTAAGCAGAAAGACTTGAAGAATTATTGTGAAATATCAATTCTTCGAAAGGTTTACTTGTTTTTTTTTTTTTTTTTGCGTACCTTGTATTGGATAATTATAGTTTACACTATTCCTCCCATTGTTTTGGTAACCCATACTTTGTCCATTGTCCGTTCTTTGACTTCGTATATTGGATGATACTAATCGATGACCGCCGGGGGGAATGTAAGCTCTTTGCGAATGTACTCCAAAACCTAATGTAAAATGAAATACAAGGAATATAAGTTTATTTTCATTGCAGTCAATATTAATATTCCAATCAATTCAAAATGTAAATATATTGTAAAGAAGTTTTCTACTGGCCGGGGTAAAACTCTCAGTCTCCACCAGGGGGAAGAAGAAATTTAGTAAATTGCCGGGACAGAGGAATGAGATGGGATAGTGGGCCGAGATGGCCGAGCTATCCGTGTTTGGGCCACAAAATCTCTTGCTGGAAGCCAGCTGGGTGCTATAGCTAAGCCGCTATAGCTAGTGGCAGCTGACCCGGTTACGGGTATACCCAAGTGAAACCGCCTTCACTCAGCTCTGGCGTATAAGCTCGGAGCAGGGTCCCATCGCACCCATATTGTACTAGTGCGCTACACTTGCTATTCCCGAAGCCCTAGATAACAACGGGCCAACTGATTACCGTTTCGACCCAGCTCAGCTCAGCTCAGTATAACACTCGGAGCCGGATCACGTTGCATCCACTATGAGCTATGAACGGATGCCCAGAAGTGCTAGCGATAGCTAGTGTAGCACACAGCCAAGCTGACTGTCACCACGATTCAGCTCCGGTGTATAATACTCGGCTTTGAGGCGCGTAACCAATGCTACGGGCTGCGGCGAGACACCTGTGACGAAAGAAAACCCAACTGCCTAGCACACCGCCAAACTGACCATCGCACAGTGGGCGATTTGGTCGATCAACAATTTTGCAAAAATTGTATTTTTTATATTATTTGGACCCTTTAATGTACAATATTTAATAATTTTTTGCACCTTAAAAATTTTTGTTGTTTTTTTTTTATACCCTGAACCCATTGAAAATGGGAAATCAGGGTATAATGGTTTTGTTGAAATGTATTTAACAGGCAGAAGGAGGCGTGGCAGACCCAACAAAGTATATATATTCTTGATCAGGGCGACGAGGTGAGTTGATTTGGCCCTGTCCGTCTATCTGTCCGTATGTATGAACGCGTCGATTTCAGGAGATATAAGAGCTAGAGATTTCAAATTTTTTTTTAAATGTCCGTAATCATAATCGATAACTCATCCCGATCTTTTTTTATCGATAAAAAACTTATCGAAACCCAGGTCTAAAATTATATCTCCTACACCTTTATTGCTAGCGTATTTCATATACTAGAGACTTGTGCTTTGGCAAATATGTATATATATATATATATGCAAATATATCCATGTTGTAATCATAATCTGAAAGTTTCATGAAGATCGTATGTCCACAAATTATTAAAAAAACAAGTAAGAACGTTGCAGTCGGGCGTTACCGACTGCGGAATACTCATTCACATCCCATCAACAATTTAGTAGTTAAGTTTCGCTCTAATACTGTAGAATATACAGGTTTTTCCGATTTGCCACGCCCCTACTGGGCGTAGACACCTCATTTTTGGTCAGTTTTTAAAAAGAGATAACGGTACCCTAACTGCAAAGTTTGAATGCTTACCCTCAAGAAATGTGAAAATTACAGGGTATTTTTCGATATGCCACGCCCCTAAAGAGGCGTAAAAATTATTTTTGGGGAATCGATAGAGGAGGCTACCAGTAACTCAACTATCCAAATTTGAAGCTTCTAGCTATTATACTTTAGGAGATATAAACTTTTGCGGTTTGCCACGCCCCCTGTGGGCGGACATATATCCGACAAAACTTTTTGGTCTTGGGTGATCAGTCCGAGTATATATACATAATTTGAGGTCTCTGCCATCAATAGTGTCCAAAATATAGGAGAATTTAAAAAATCACTATATCTTCAGGTCCGATTTGCCACGCCCCCAATGGGCGTAGATTTATAATTTATCTTTAGACTTTATAGAATCATACCATTAGCTGACGTGCAAAATTTCAGCATTCTAGGTTTACAACTTTAGGAGATACAGTTTTATCCGATTTGCCACGCCCTCAATGGGCGTAGATATATCCGCCATAGCTCGTGATCTTGGGTGGTCAACGCGGACCTACATACCAAATTTCAGCTTTCTAGCTTTTTAACTAACATGATTTCTGGTATATCGGAAAATGCATTTTCCGATTTGCCACGCCCCTAGTGGGCGGATCGGGAAAATTTTAACACTTTATAAATCGGAGATATACACGAGTATGTGTTCCAAATTTCAAGTCTCTAGCTTCAATAGCGCCGAAATAGATTGCGTTCATACGGACAGACGGACAGACGGACGGACAGCAAGACGGACATTGCACAAAACCAATATACTGATTCACTTTCGTGAATGAGTATAAAAATTATTAAACAATTAAGTTCTCATAGTAAGCGCACACTGCAGCCCATGCGTGTTTATGCGTGGGTGCTTGTGTGTGTATGTGTATGCGTTTGTGTGTGTGTGTATGAAAGACGCGAAAAATTATTGAAATAGCTATTGCTGCAAGGGTTCAGGGGATCTCGTAGTCGAGCAGTCTCGACTATTATTAACTATTATTATTAACTATTATTATTATTAATTACTATTATTATTATTATTAATATCAGTTATCCGAATCCGAAACTTAATTTTCTGAATCCGAAGGGGAATTCGATAGCAGGTTTCGAACTTCCTTATCAAACACTATTTCTTTACTAGATTTATTTGCTTTGCTTTTGCACAAACTTGTTATAAGTGGGTCTGAAGCAACTAATAATGAATTCATTAAGTCCATTGTGTTTACACGCGAGTTTTTATACTCATTCACGAAAGTGAAATGAGTATATTGGTTTTGTGCAACGTCCGTCTTAAAATTTTCCCGATCCGCACACTAGGGGCGTGGCAAATCGGAAAATGCATTTTCCGATATACCAGAGATCATATTAGTTGAAAAGCTAGAAAGCTGAAATTTGGTATGTAGGTCCGCGTCGACCACCTAAGATCACGAACTATGGCGAATATATCTCCGCCCATAGGGGGCGTGGCAAACAGCGTTTATATCTCCTACAGTTTAAGAACTAGAAGCTTCAAATTTATTTAAGTTCCTGGTAGCCTCCTCTATCGATGCCCCAAATATTTTTGCGCCTCTTTAGGGGCGTGGCATATCGAAAAATACCCTGTAATTTTCACATTTTTTGAGCGTAAGAATTCAAATTTTGCATTTAGGTTACCGGTTGCTCAGTTGCTGGAAAAAAATGAGGAGTCTACAGCCACTAGGGGCGTGGCAATCGGCATTTATAGTGCCCGAATCGCGGCATTTATATGCGTCAGCCATCTATTTATGTATTTGTACATATAAATAAGCTTAATAGATATTCATAATACGGAAAGAAACATTTTTATGAAATTTAAAAAATATAAAAGAAGCTAAAATAACAAAAATTTACAATTACAAAAAGGAGTTTTCCGCGGAATTTGAACTCGCACCCAAGCCAAATAGCATGTTTGTCAAAATAACTAAAATAAAGATCGCCGGTGCTTTTGCCTACAACACCACCGCATCGTTTCGAACAACAGTAGTTAAAACGAAATCACATTATAGCAAAGAAAAACCAGTGTAGCGTCTGGAAATTCAAAAACAATGCAAGGACAAATCAATCGCAACTGAAATTCTTAGAATATGCAAGAGTACATACACACATACAAATGAACGCGTGTATAAGGCTGGAATGCTTGATGCTATGCAAGCAGACTTATAAAGAGATGGTCAAAAGTATTTACACACCGAGCATTTTTCTACATGCTCTGCTTAAAGAGCTTTTTTTTGTTGTTTTCCTTCACCGTTTTTGAAAAAAAAGCTTTTGTGACATAAAGCGTATTCTATGTAGAAGCGATCGGATGAAGACATTGCTAAAATAACGGTACATGCTAATAAATAGAGCGAAAAGAACAATTACTTAAAGGTTGTCAAAAGTATTTACACACATTTTTTTTGCGTTTTTAGTATTTACACAAAAAATAAACAATGTTTAATTTAATGTTATTTATTTTGGATTTTTGTTTTATATAACAAAGGGCTTATTCATTTAAATTTGTGTTTAGTTATTCCTACTTTTACTTCAATTACAGCCCGATGCCTTGCTGGAATTGATGCCACCAAGGATCGGGCAAAATCAATTGTTAATTTCGACCAAATTTCGGTAATTTCCTTGATGATATCATCCGGTTTTCGGTCTTTGTTGAATAATCTGTTAGATTATGCCCATAAATTTTCATTCGTTAAGGCCCGGACTTTGCGAAGAACAGGGCAGAATGGCTTGGTTTAAGTCCCTCAAAAACTTTGTAGGTATTGATCTTTTATGGCAAGGAGCATTATCTTGCTGCAATAGCCAGTCAATGGCTAGAAATAGTCTGTTTCCCAATGTAAAATCATGGTGATTTAATATTGGCAGATATCCTGATTGATTTAGTAATTGTTCTTTTCGCACTATTTATTAGCATGTACTGTTATTTTCGCAATTTCTTCAGCCGATCGCTTCTACATAGAATAAGCTTTATGTCACAAAAGTTTTTTTTCAAAAACGGTGAAGGAAAACAACAAAAAAAAGCTATTTAAGCAGAGCATGCAGAAAAATGTTCGGTGTGTAAATACTTTTGACCACCTCTGTATATACATATGTACATATGTATGTAAACGTGTATATGTATTTGAGGGCTATTTAAGAAGAAACAAATTTAAACTTATAAAATTATTCGACTAAAAAAAATAAAAGTATTAAGGGCCATTCATTCAAGCTCGCACCTTCCCAATAAAATATCTATTTTATAAAAAACGAAATATGTATGCAAAAAAAAATATCATCGAAGACGTTTCAAACCTCCCCTAGTCTAACAAAACTTGCGTCGCCTTTAGCACCCGCGCTACTGCTTTGCTTGATCAACCAGTTGCTAAAATAGAATAACTTAATAACAGATCGTCATCTAAAAAAATTACAGTAACGGCTAGAAAATCCAGAAATCAATCGAAATTCTAAGAATGTGCTAAAAGACGCACTTCTGTTTGTACGCATAGAATACACGATGAGTGTGTGCACATGTATAGGAAAATCGCG